CAGTGATTTCAAGAAGAAATAAAGAGTAACTGAAAAAAAGTTCTGATTATTGTATTCTTCTTGATCTCCTGAAAAATGCTGCTACTAATCCAAGGAATGTACTACCTGAACAGGGTAGTCAGGAAGCTTTTCTTGTAAGATAAAATTGGTAGAAAATACTTCTGTTTTTTCATTTTTATAGATACTTAAAGCTATTCATGTAAAAACTATGAGTTCTTTGCAGGCACGTGTTGGGAGATACAAGCATTTAAACAATTTAAAAACTAGACTTGAACTAGCCAACTATGCCTTCTTGAGAGGGAAGAACTGCTGTGTATACATTAAAATAATACATCTTTTCATATGGTATATGTTTCTATTGTGTATTGAAAACTTCTAATCTTTGTAATACAGATATCAAAGCAAATACCCATCATTTGCTTCTATAAACATACGATGAAGTTTCACTAAAACAGTAAATAGGAAGCAAAGATCCCACCTCCCACCAGCATACAATAGGCTCTCACTTTCCTTTTATTATACATTGTTGCATTAGAAGAGATCGTGTAACTTTTTTTAAATTCACAAGGGAATATTAACTTAGCCCTTAAGGATATTCCATTGCTATTCAATTTCATACTTCACTAGAAGACGACGGACATTTGAGAATAGCCAGGTAGCCTTTTGGAATTGCTGTCCTGAAAATCTTGATATATCTGAAACTAAAACACATTGAATTTCCAGAGGAAAAAAGATTTTTTTTTCTTTTTAACTTGTATTTGATAATCACTATGCTTTGGCTGCATTCATCTAAGCATCAGGGATTTGTAACTGAGTTATAAATATTTTATTGAATTTTTAATAAAAAACCAACAACCTTAATGTGTGCAATGTAGTGTACTCTCTGTATTACTTGAAAGCTCTGATGTATGGCAACTCCAGCAGCTCTGAGGTGAATCAATAAATCTCATGACTTTGTGTTATGAAGGTTTAGTATCTTCTTGTCATCCACCATCTATTTCCCCAAATAGAAAAGCTAGGATAAACGTATGAGGTTGCATTTTTGCTAAGGCACCAAAACCTCTTGGACACACGAGCTGAGCTCTTTAAAGATGTCGTTGTAGAGTACATCTGAAATTCTGCTATATCCAGTTTAAGCTATTTTCATTGAAAAAGTCTATTTGCATCAAAAGACTATATCCTTTTGTGTGATTCAGTGTTCAGAAAGTTGTCAGGAACTTCAGGTAGTCTTTAACAAAACAGGCCAGTCACTCTCATTTTCTAGCCATAGTTTTACTTTGGGGGCCATTTCTGTTTGTTTTTAATTACAACAATATTTCCATGGATCTCTAGCTGTAGATTGTGGAGCAGTGTGAAATTCTGGCCCAATTGAAATTATTGGTAAAATTCACATTGACTTCAATAAGACTAATATTTCATTCTACTCTCCAGTTAGGTATGTGTTTATGTCTAATTATGTCTGGAAATACATGATTTTCTTGTGAAGTGTGCATAGTTATGTGTGCACATAGTAGGTTAGAGCTTGATCCATAGCCCACTGAAGTCAAAGACACTCATTGACTTCATTTTGATTTGACTCAGATCCTAAGTTCCCACAGCGATGAGGTGTCCTCTCCACACAGGTCTGGAAAGATGACTAGGTAGGCCTATCAATTCTGCAGGCTGCACATGGAGGGAAAGTCAAGGAAAAGGTAGTTGTAGAATGGGTCTGTAAAACCAGGCAAGAAGTAGGAGCTGCTGCTTTAAAACAGTAGTCATTATCTGTGAAGAGGAGGAGTGTTTGGAAGCTGCAGATACTTCCTGGGAAGAGGATGTGGAGCTAGGAGCGGAACCAAAAGTTGTAGGAAACAGTCCAGAGAAGGAACAGTGAGGACTGGGAGAGGAAACTCATAGCTGCTGGTTCCCTAGACTATAATTCAGAGGGCAGTGGCTTGGTCTGGGTTCTTGTACCAGCTGCAGAAGATGTGGCATAGGCTAGCAGAGCAGTGCTCTGGAAGACTGTCTGGGTCACTGTAGGAGTAACAGAGAGTATACAGCAGAAGGGAGAGCCTCTGAATGCCTAGACAGAGGGCTGTCATGAAGAGGATGTTGTGGTGTCTGAGAAAAGAAAGGAGATACCGACTCGTGAGGGTGATGGTGTGACAGCCTGTAACCATGGGAAAGATCAGCGAGCTTGAGAGCTAATCCCTAGAGTGATCAGATAAGCAGTCAGTGGTACACCCACATAAACATCTGACCTGCACATTCACAATGAGTGATTTTGTGCCTAAATTAGATGTGAAAATATATGCTCACAGTTGTATCTTTATAACTGAAAATATGTGTAGATAAATTTGAATAACAAATGTGACATATATGGGGCCTGCACTTCAAAAGTTTCTTTCATTACAAAATATACCACCAGTATGAGAGATTGTTATTCTTAAAATGGAAAAACACATTAGAATAAACAATACCTCTAAAAACCAGAAATTACAAAAATAAATTTGAATAAAGTTCCTTTTTCTGTGTTAGAAAGAAATAACATTTTTGTAGTCTTCATCTGTGACACCTGACATTAGTGACAAGTAATCGCAATGGGGCTCAATGTGACAGACCTTGCCCCGGTCTATTGATTTCAGTATACAGTGTTGTTGTAGCTGTGTCAGTCCCAGGATATTAGATGCACAAAGTGAATGAGGTAACATCTTTTATTGGACCAAGTACCTTTGGCGAGACGGACAAGCTTTTCATCTATAGACAGCTCTTCAGGTCTGGTAAAGATACTAGCAGTTTCTAGGTATGAAGAAGCATTCTGTGTTAAGAATGTTAAGAAGTGGGTAATCGTGTAGTCGATACAATTTGTATTGACTACACGATTAATAGATAAGGAAAGGCTCTGTTTTTCATGAGTTCATTTGTTCTGTGATGATAACCTTTTAAACATTGATTTAAACACAGACCTATTCTGGGACTTTAAGCATAGCTTTGCTGAGGATCTTGTTTATTTACCAGGTCAATGTTTTTTGGATATGAGTACCAGAAGCCATTTGAGACTGACACCCTCAGGATGACACCTTTCCTTGGAGCTATAACATTTAGCATTTAGTTTTGATATAATGGTAGATTGGGAATTCCTTCATAATGAAGTTTTATAATTTGTTAACTGATTACAGACTGGGTATTCACTCATTCAATTCATTCTAGAAAGTCAAGAGGTTTTGTATAGGAGTCAGTTCAATCCAATTCTAAGTCTGACATACTCTGCCGTTTTGGTTTTCATCTGTATACACTAGAAACCACAAATCCAAAATGATAATAAAGTAAACATCAATTCATATTATCCTGAATCTGGGAAGGATACACTTGGCTCAGGCATGAAACAGAACTTACCCACATTTTTTCTTTCATCTCTTTGGCTTACTGAATTTTCCTACCCAGATGTTTTTATCAGTCCTTTATACATACAGGTCTGTCTCCTATCAACAAATTGTTTACCTAGGAAACTCAGTCTTCTCTTAAACTAGTCACTCTCATGTCTCAAAAATCTTTGGTATGCCACAAGATGTGTCAATTTGTCTCAGCAGTTAGTGCATTTGCGGACCTGCTCTATGACTTTAAAAATTAGTGTTGATATATACTGCTTGGTATCCCTCCTCTCTGCTTAATTTTCTAAGGACTTAAACATGTAAGAATTAAACATCAGATACTTTTTACTGTATTATTTTACTTAACTTTGACTATAACTATAATAGGAACATCTTGTCAAGTATTCTAATTATGATTTTTTTCTGAAGTTCTTCATTGAAAAATTAACTGTTGATGGAACCAGCATCTGCCCAAATCTTTCACTGAATTTTCAAATACAGTTTAAAAAAGTGAGATATTTTACTGGCTTTTTATGATTCTCACTTGAGTAACTTTCTGCTACATGCTTTTCATGTCTATAATGGTTATAACATAGAAATAAACCTGAAATATACTTATTTTAAAATGGGCTAATCGAAAAGCCTCTGAATAGTCCCAAATTTTGAATCTGAGTTTGTGATTGTATACGCATGAAAGAAACTAGTATCACACTGAGAAATGTGTTAATTCCCCACCCCTTTTACCTCAAAACACACTTAAAAATGTCAGTATTGCTTATTAAACAGAAATAACTTCTATTGTTGCTTTTGCTGTATCACTTTGCAATTTGTTTCCCTAAGAATCTTTTTCTTTTTCCCTCTGGAAGAGCTGGCTCTTTTCAATTTCTAAGAACTCACATTAACAGTGAATTGTTTGCACTTAGATATTGGGAAAGGAAAAGAACTACAGAGTCAAGTATTTCATGTCAAGCCATGCTAATATCAATTTGTGTACAGGGGTGCAAAATGCACAGGCCATATTGAAAAGGATGTTATGTATTTTAAACATTTCCTTATTTTTATTGTTTTAATGGCATGAGGTAAGTTGTCACCTAGATTAAACTGGGGTATGTCCCCTGTGACTGCAGTGGAAAACAAGAGTGTGAGCAGGACTTGTAGACTATCTCTTCTACCTCCTGCACCCTAGCTAGGGAAGATTCTGACCAACTAGCTACTGAGATCAGAGGCTGCCATAGTGAAGGTTGGGAATGGAATTTAATTTGTTATTCCATGTTTATTTTGGGGGGACTGAAGAATAAACAAGGACATAAGGGTTATAGAACGAAGTCAGTGTGGGCAATTGTTTTGCCAAGGCTAGGCAATGGGTCTCAGGTACAGTCTAGTTTATAAATGGTAAGTTTTTTTAAGGAAATAAATTGTAATTTACTAAGTCTGTACAGAACCTAGAATAATCAGATGTATAGCTGGTTGCCTTATAGCATTTACTAAATGGCTAGTCAAAGTAGATTGTGTAGACCTTTATAATATGATCCTTTACTTTATTTCCTCACATTCTTTTGATCAGTGAAATAATTAACAATGTGTGAGGGCTCTGGAAAGCAGAGGACTACAATTCCCATGAACCATTGCCTCACCACGTTTTCTTGCCCCCAGATAAGAGGAAAGGTCCTGAACCATGAAGTGACTAGAATCCATCTAGGACTGGCAGCTGCATGACCAACCCAGGAGCTGCAGGGAAACTGAAGCAGTGGTAAGCAGCAAGAGAAGCTGCAGACAGGCGTGGACAGAGAGCCACAAGTGGAAAAGTCTGTGGGCTTTATGAGTGAGTGTGGGCTTTATGAGTGAATAGCAGCAGCAGCTGGGTGTGGAGAAGGTACAGGGTAGTTCCACTAAGAGACATTAACTGGATCTGGCTTGGAAATCTACATCTTTTTATGTGTTTGAAGAAAGACTTGATTGGAAAGGGCATCCCAAGCAATAAATCTAAAGAACCCTGAACTCTCAACTGTGCTGCTGCAAGGACCCATTATTTATCAGGTTCTTTCAGAATCTATCCTCTCAGAACCTTATAAAATAACTGTCTAGAACAGACAAGACCTAGTTACTGAAACACCCACAGAGCTTGTCTCCAAAACACAGGACACCTGGCATGTTACTAGCACCCTAGTGGTTTAGAATGCACAATAACCTCAATAATTACAGATATCTACACAAATTAAAGTGAACAAGCAGTTTCTAGCTTAATACTGTTGTTTCAGGCTCTCTGCTACTTCTGGCAGGCATCACTGCATCTGTTAAACTGGAGTAATATATTCAGTATTTTCTTCACAGCCATGTCAGCTAAAGTCTTTCTATATGAACATGAAGATTCTGGAGAACAATTCACAGTTGTAGGTATTCACCCTGAATAGTGTCTCTTGGCACCCAACACAGCATGAATCCTGTAATTCAGGCTGTGTTTGTCTAAAGTATGACCATGGTATCCCCCTTGCAACAATCTATTTAAAGATTAACTAGACTATGGGGAAGTTTGCTAATTACACTGATAGATTGTGTCAATTGGCCAAAATCGGTCATGGTGGTTTGGGCTTTAGCTTCATTAAAATTGAAAAAGTGTGTGTTGATAAATCCAGATATTTGTAAGTGCATTTCATTAATCAAATCAGTGACATGACTGTATAAGGATCAATATGATGGTGTTGAATCCTAGATCATCATATGCAATATATAAAGAGTCAAAAAGGTAGTAGAATATTAGGAGCAATTAGGAGATAGATAAGAAATAAGATAAAATATCATAATGCCACTATATAAATTGATAGTACACCTTAAATACTATGTGCATGTGTGATCATGCCATCTCAAAAAAGATATATTAGAATTAGAAAAAGTATAGAGAAAGGCAACACAAATGTTTAGGGGTCAGTACAATGGTTGGAGAGTGTACTGGTTCAAAAGCATAGTTGCTCACAGATAATATAAGCCAGAAATGTATTACTATATTCTCCAGAAATATGGATAAAAATAATCAAGGGATGTGGGAGATCTCTTCGTTAATGCGGTTTACCCACTTATTTAAGGGTGTGTCTAAATTAGTCCACGGTAATCAAATCTGCATGCACATACACAATTATATATGTGGATTTTTTTAAAGTTGGGTGAGGGTCCCTTGAAAATGATATAACCTTTAGAGATTCAGCTTTTCTTTATTGCTCTACTAAAAGACAAATAGTTACATCATATAACTGAGGACTACAAAATGCTAACAGTATTTCTTCTAGAGGTAATTGAGATTTTTCACTAGTTGCCTTTTTCACAAATTACCAGCACCATTGCATTTTTCAACTTTTGCCAAGTTTTCTGTGATTTGTTTTTTACTGAAACATTTACCAAAATTGTTATCAAAACATTATAGATTGCCAAAACCAGATTTCAGTAGATGAAAAACAAATGAAACATTTCAAAAACAAAGTTGCTAAAATATCTCAAAAAATGGATGGTGGATCAGTTTCAAAATAGACAAAATTAAAATAACTTTTGAAATTTGATTGCCATTAAATAATTTTCTCTTCCTTTCTGACAGGCCTAATGACTTCCTAAAATGCAGCTTTAATAATAGGCATCAAAAACTGTTGGCCTACAGAAATCATGCTACCTAATTACTCATAATAGAGCAATAAATCACATTAACAAAACCACAACATTGAAGAAAACATTGTGTTTTCCTGTGCATTTCAAAGGGCCTCCAGGGTTTCCTTGTCTTTTTCAAATCATTGTAATTAAGAATAAGTTAACAAAACTTCTTAGGCTAGTGTTGCCTTAAATTATTAATTCAATTTAGAGACCTGATATCTCCCAAAATCAAATTTATGGGAGCTGTATAAGAAGCAGCCATAATATTGTACAATATTATATGATAAATCCTTCAACTATACAGAAAGTAAAAGGTATAATATCATAGAGTCTGGGGGCCAACAGACTAACTGGTCCCTGGGTGAGGTGAGAGGGCAGCTCCATGCTCTTGGAAGGGGTGGATCCTAGGGCAGAAAGATGTTATCTCATTAAAAGTCATATATAGGCCTGCACGGGTTAAATTTGTATTCTTCTAGGCCAGCCATAAGCCCTGCTGGCAAAAATACCAGGTGTTTTATATCAGACGGCCTTCATCAGCCACAGCTCCCCATGCTTGCTAGCTGAGAGCCAACTATGGGATAAATAACATGATGTTGGCTCTCAGGCTCGTAGGAACATTGAGAATGGTGTTGGGACAATATGCACAAACCCAGTAAACAACTGTAGTATAAGATCACTGGGAGTCTGTGTCCAGTGAGTCTCAGCAGAGGCCTAAACCTCGAAGGGTGCCCTGGATCCCCCAGCTGGAGCCACGTCCACTGCGGCCTGGTGCAAGGAGACTGGAACGGGACTACCCACAGACTGAAGGGGCGTAAGCATTTCCAAGTGCCTGTTACTCACTTTTATGCATTGCTCTGCCTATGCTTATTGGGGTATTACTTTGCAGTAACCATCTGGCAGTATTAAGCGTGTAATAGTAGTGATGTAGTGAGATTAATAAAAGCAACTATACCTAATCGACTGTGTCTTGAAGTGAATCCATAATCCTGTTGGGCCTTAGCCCTGTGAGTTGACAGATGGGACTGGAGCACCAAAGAGATACCACTTGAGCAACCAAGTGCAGGTATACACATTTGACTAGGGGGTGCTCGCAAGAGGTGAGTGCACCTCATTATAGGAACAAAGAATTTTTAATGGGTTCTTTAGTCTGGTTGGCAAAGGTGTAGAAAGATCTAATAGATTAAAGGTTGAAGCTGATTATACATTTCCCATTTACGGATCTATCAATCAAATTGATTTTTCAGCAACTTTACTCTTGAGAAGTTCTACAACTGAAGACATAAATTTGTTCTGGGTGTTTCATACATTGAAAAGACAGAAGGGTTCATTGTGATAATCAAGTCTGAAATTCTGTATAACACAGATCCTAGAACTTACCCCAAATAATTTCTACAATGTATTTCTTATACAAAAAACTCTCAAACAAACCCAACAATGTTCAGGAAGCACCATATCATGCTCAGATGACAAGTCATAAGATTTCTCTGCCTTTTGAAATCCCTAATCCTTCTAATCCACAGTTCTTCATAAGCATAA